TTATAGATATACAAACTCATTCCAGCAGCTGATGTAATACTCTAGGTTACTCTACCCTGTATGAGCCCATGATGAGAAGGGAACGAAAACGTTTGGTTCAGAAAATCTTCCATTTATTCTTCTAGACTGGTGTGGACAGCGCATAGATCATGCATACTCGGATTCGGCAGCTGGTTCGTGTGTTTACGTGTGCACGTGCACGCTTGCCTAGGAGACTGCATAGTCGGATTCGGCAGCTGGTTCGTGTGTTTGCGTGTACACGTGCGCGCGTGCCTAGGATACTGCATAGTCGGATTCGGCAGCTGATTCGTGTGTTTGCGTGTGCACGTGCGCGCGTGCCTAGGAGACTGCATAGTCGGATTCGGCAGCTGGTTCGTGTGTTTGTGTGTGTACGTGCACGCATGCCTAGGAGACTGCATAGTCGGATTCGGCAGCTGGTTCGTGTTGTTGCTTGTGCACGTGCGCGCATGCCTAGCAAACTGCATAGTCGGATTCGGCAGCTGGTTCGTGTGTTTGCGTGTGCACGTGCGCTCGTGCCTAGGACGCTGTATAGTTGGATTCGGCAGCTGGTTCGTGTGTTTGCGTGTGCACGTGCGCACGTGCCTAGGAGACTGCATAGTCAGATTCGGCAGGTGGTTCGTATGTTTGCGTGTGCGCGTGCCTAGGAGACTGAATAGTCGTACTCGGCAGCTGGTTCGTGTGTTTGCGTGCGCGCGTGCCTAGGAGACTGCATAGTCGGATTCAGCAGCTGGTTTGTGTGTTTCTATGTCCACGTGCGCGCGTGCCTAGGAGACTGAATAGTCGCATTCGGCAGCTGGTTCGTGTGTTTGCGTGTGCACGTGCACGCGTGCCTAGGAGACTGCATAGTCGGATTCAGCAGCTGGTTCGTGTGTTTGCGTATGCGCGTGCCTAGGAGACTGCATAGTCGGATTCGGCAGCTGGTTCGTGTTGTTCCTTGTGCACGTGCGCGCGTGCGTAGGAAACTGCATAGTCGGATTCGGCAGCTGGTTCGTGTGTTTGCGTGTGCACCTGCGCACGTGCCTAGGAGACTGCATAGTCGCATTCGGCAGCTGGTTCGTGTGTTTGCGTGTGGACGTGCGCGCGTGCCTAGGAGACTGCATAGTCGGATTTGGCAGCTGGTTCGTGTGTTTGCGTGTTCACGTGCGCGCGTGCCTAGGAGACTGCATAGTCGGTTTTCGCAGCTGGTTCGTGTGTTTGCGTGTGCGCGTGCCTAGGAGACTGCATAGTCGGATTCGGCAGGTGGTTCGTGTTGTTGCTTGTGCACGTGCGCGCGTGCCTAGGAAACTGCATAGCGGATTCGCCAGCTGGTTCGTGTGTTTGCGTGTGCACGTGCGCGCGTGCCTAGGACACTGCATAGTTGGATTCGGCAGCTGGTTCGTGTGTTTGCGTGTGCACGTGCGCACGTGCCTAGGAGACTGCATAGTCGCATTCGGCAGCTGGTTCGTGTGTCTGGCTGTGCACGTGCGCGCGTGCCTAGGAGACTGAATAGTCGGATTCGGCAGCTGGTTCGTGTGTTTGCGTGTGCACGTGCGCGCGTGCCTAGGAGACTGCATAGTCGGATTCGGCAGCTGGTTTGTGTGTTTGCGTGTGCGCGTGCACGCGTGCCTAGGAGACTGCATAGTCGGATTCTGCAGCTGGTTCGTGTGTTTGCGTGTGCACGTGCGGGCGTGCCTAGGAGACTGCATAGTCGGATTCGGCAGCTGGTTCGTGTGTTTCCGTGTTCACGTGCGCGCGTGCCTAGGAGACTGCATAGTCGGATTCGGCAGCTGGTTAGTGTGTTTGCGTGTTCACGTGCGCGCGTGCCTAGGTGACTGAATAGTCGGATTCGGCAGCTGGTTCGTGTGTTTCCGTGTTCACGTGCGCGCGTGCCTAGGAGACTGCATAGTCGGATTCGGCAGCTGGTTCGTGTGTTTGCGTGTGCAGGTGCGCGCGTGCCTAGGAGATTGCATTGTCGGATTCGGCAGCTGGTTTGTGTGTTTCCGTGTTCACGTGCGCGCGTGCCTAGGAGACTTCAGAGTCGGATTCGGCAGCTGGTTCGTGTGTTTGCGCGTGCACGTGCACGCATGCCTAGGAGACTGCATAGTCGGATTCGGCAGCTGGTTCGTGTGTTTGCGTGTGCGCGTGCCTAGGAGACTGCATAGTCGGATTCAGCAGCTGGTTCGTGTGTTTGCGTGTGCACGTGCGCGCGTGCCTAGGAGACTGCATAGTCGGATTCGGCAGCTGGTTTGTGTGTTTGCGTGTGCGCGTGCACGCGTGCCTAGGAGACTGCATAATCGGATTCTGCAGCTGGTTCGTGTGTTTGCGTGTGCACGTGCGCGCGTGCCTAGGAGACTGCATAGTCGGATTCGGCAGCTGGTTCGTGTGTTCGCGTGTGCACGTGCGCGCGTGCCTAGGAGACTGCATAGTTGGATTCGGCAGCTGGTTTGTGTGTTTGCGTGTGCACGTGCGCGCGTGCCTAGGAGACTGCATAGTCGGATTCGGCAGCTGGTTCGTGGGTTCGCGTGTTCACGTTCGCGCGTGCCTAGGAGACTGCATAGTCGGATTCAGCAGCTGGTTTGTGTGTTTGCGTGTGCGCGTGCACGCGTGCCTAGGAGACTGCATAATCGGATTCTGCAGCTGGTTCGTGTGTTTGCGTGTGCACGTGCGCGCGTGCCTAGGAGACTGCATAGTCGGATTCGGCAGCTGGTTCGTGTGTTCGCGTGTGCACGTGCGCGCGTGCCTAGGAGACTGCATAGTTGGATTCGGCAGCTGGTTTGTGTGTTTGCGTGTGCGCGTGCACGCCTGCCTAGGAGACTGCATAGTCGGATTCTGCAGCTGGTTCGTGTGTTTGCGTGTGCACGTGCGCGCGTGCCTAGGAGACTGCATAGTCGGATTCGGCAGCTGGTTCGTGGGTTCGCGTGTGCACGTGCGCGCGTGCCTAGGAGACTGCATAGTCGGATTCCGCAGCTGGTTCGTGTGTTTGCGTGTTCACGTTCGCGCGTGCCTAGGAGACTGCATAGTCGGATTCGGCAACTGGTCCGTGTGGTTGCGTGTGCACGTGCGCGCGTGCCTAGGAGACTGCATAGTCGGATTCGGCCGCTGGTTCGTGTGTTTGCGTGTGCACGTGCGCGCGTGCCTAGGAGACTGCATAGTCGGATTCGGCAGCCTGTTCGTGTGTTTGCGTGTGCACGTGCGCGTGTGCCTAGGAGACTGCAAAGTCGGATCTGGCAGCTGGTTCGTGTGTTTGCGTGTTCACGTGCGCGCGTGCCTAGGAGACTGCATAGTCGGTTTTCGCAGCTGGTTCGTGTGTTTGCGTGTGCGCGTGCCTAGGAGACTGCATAGTCGGATTCGGCAGCTGGTTCGTGTTGTTGCTTGTGCACGTGCGCGCGTACCTAGGAAACTGCATAGCGGATTCGCCAGCTGGTTCGTGTGTTTGCGTGTGCACGTGCGCACGTGGCTAGGACACTGCATAGTTGGATTCGGCAGCTGGTTCGTGTGTTTGCGTGTGCACGTGCGCACGTGCCTAGGAGACTGCATAGTCGCATTCGGCAGCTGGTTCGTGTGTCTGCGTGTGCACGTGCGCGCGTGCCTAGGAGACTGCATAGTCGGATTCGGCAGCTGGTTTGTGTGTTGGCGTGTGCGCGTGCACGCGTGCCTAGGAGACTGCATAGTCGGATTCTGCAGCTGGTTCGTGTGTTTGCGTGTGCACGTGCGCGCGTGCCTAGGAGACTGCATAGTCGGATTCGGCAGCTGGTTCGTGTGTTTCCGTGTTCACGTGCGTGCGTGCCTAGGAGACTGCATAGTCGGATTCGGCAGCTGGTTAGTGTGTTTGCGTGTTCACGTGCGCGCGTGCCTAGGAGACTGAATAGTCGGATTCGGCCGCTGGTTCGTGTGTTTCCGTGTTCACGTGCGCGCGTGCCTAGGAGACTGCATAGTCGGATTCGGCAGCTGGTTCGTGTGTTTGCGTGTGCACGTGCGCGCGTGCCTAGGAGATTGCATTGTCGGATTCGGCAGCTGGTTTGTGTGTTTCCGTGTTCACGTGCGCGCGTGCCTAGGAGACTTCAGAGTCGGATTCGGCAGCTGGTTCGTATGTTTGCGCGTGCACGTGCACGCATGCCTAGGAAACTGCATAGTCGGATTCGGCAGCTGGTTCGTGTGTTTGCGTGTGCGCGTGCCTAGGAGACTGCATAGTCGGATTCAGCAGCTGGTTCGTGTGTTTGCGTGTGCACGTGCGCGTGTGCCTAGGAGACTGCATAGTCGGATTCGGCAGCTGGTTTGTGTGTTTGCGTGTGCGCGTGCACGCGTGCCTAGGAGACTGCATAGTCGGATTCTGCAGCTGGTTCGTGTGTTTGCGTGTGCACGTGCGCGCGTGCCTAGGAGACTGCATAGTCGGATTCGGCAGCTGGTTCGTGTGTTCGCGTGTGCACGTGCGCGCGTGCCTAGGAGACTGAATAGTCGGATTCGGCCGCTGGTTCGTGTGTTTCCGTGTTCACGTGCCCGCGTGCCTAGGAGACTGCATAGTCGGATTCGGCAGCTGGTTCGTGTGTTTGCGTGTGCACGTGCGCGCGTGCCTAGGAGATTGCATTGTCGGATTCGGCAGCTGGTTTGTGTGTTTCCGTGTTCACGTGCGCGCGTGCCTAGGAGACTTCAGAGTCGGATTCGGCAGCTGGTTCGTATGTTTGCGCGTGCACGTGCACGCATGCCTAGGAGACTGCATAGTCGGATTCGGCAGCTGGTTCGTGTGTTTGCGTGTGCGCGTGCCTAGGAGACTGCATAGTCGGATTCAGCAGCTGGTTTGTGTGTTTGCGTGTGCGCGTGCACGCGTGCCTAGGAGACTGCATAGTCGGATTCTGCAGCTGGTTCGTGTGTTTGGGTGTGCACGTGCGCGCGTGCCTAGGAGACTGCATAGTCGGATTCGGCAGCTGGTTCGTGTGTTCGCGTGTGCACGTGCGTGCGTGCCTAGGAGACTGCATAGTCGGATTCCGCAGCTGGTTCGTGTGTTTGCGTGTTCACGTTCGCGCGTGCCTAGGAGACTGCATAGTCGGATTCGGCAGCTGGTCCGTGTGGTTGCGTGTGCACGTGCGCGCGTGCCTAG